TCCTCCCTCCGGTAACCTCAGCGGAGGGGAGCGATGGGGTGTCCCCCTCCCCCGCCCCCTCAGACAGGCGTTAACCGACCCGTAAGTATGCAAATTTCCCCCCCCCCAAACCATCAAATTGGCCACTGCGTTTTTAATTTCACATCTGTAACGTGCTAACGAGCGGCACGTGTCGTTAAGGCTTGGCTAACGCCCTGCTCCTTCTCCCAGACTGGGGGCAATGGAGAGCGGCGCCCTTCTCCTCGCCCCGCCGGCTAAAACGACGGTGACCCGGCTAACGACGACGATGACGGGTGCCGACTAATTAATGGCCGTTTGTGTCTCCCTCCCTGCAGCCTTGGGTTAAAAGCTCGTCCTCCCGAGACCTCCCCTGGCCGCCGCGCCGTGAGGGATCGCAGACCTCCATGCCCATAGGTAGGTGTCCGCATTTCGGGTTTCCTCCCCTCGGGAGCAGCCAGCGCTGGTGGGGGACGTCCCCGTGGGGGATGTTTTAGGGGGTCAGATGGCTTTTTTTCTTAGAAATCTCCTTAGAAATTCTTAGATTTTTATCCAATTGCGGCAGTGGAGTGGTAACGCAGGTGCTGGGGCGCCAGCGGCGCCGGAGAAGAGCGGACCTCCGCTTTTACTGGAGAATTGCTTCACAATTCCGTGACGTTCCTTGGAGCCCTCCCTGTATTTTGGCTCTCTCCCGGACGAGGCAGCGGCGGGAGCGCGGCTCCTGCTGGAGCGGAGCTGAGTCGCCTGTGGTGGGCAGGTAGCACCTCTCCTGCTCCTCCCGAAAAACGCTTCGTTAGTCCTCTCTCCCTCGTTAGCCGTGGCAGGAGGAGAGCGAAACGCCTCCTGCAGCCTTTGCTTCCCTCGGGGGGGGTGGAAGGAGGAAGATTCCCGAGGGCTGGAAGGACGTAACTGGGGGATAAACCTCTGCCCTCAGCCGCGGGTGCCCGCGGGCGGGCTGTCCCCTCCGCCTGGAAACCAGAGGTTCTGCAGCTGTAAAAAGCGGAGTTTTCGCGGTACCTGGCGCTGGCGCGGCCGCTCGAAACTGCGAAAAATGAGCGAAAGCGGCCGCCCCTCGC